GTGAGACGCGCCCCCCAGACGGGCGTCCCCCCGCTGAAGCCGAGCTGTGGAGACTCGCTGGTGCCAGACAGTTCTGTCAGACTGGGCCGTGCGCACCCCGCTGAGAGCAGGCCCCTCAGACTCTCCGCCATCCCCCGGCAGGGCTCAGCACACACCTCCCAACCGCTCCCCCTTGCCAAGGGTGCAGTGAGCTCGCTGGCCCTTCGTACCCGACTTTGTGTGCAGCTCGTCAGCCAGGGGCTGTATTAAAACCCACACGCAGCAGCCTGCCCGGCCATCCGTCCCTCAGGGCATCATCCCAGAGCCAGTAACAAAGCGCCCCTCCCATTTCTGGGATGCGCCATCAGTTTGCATTGGCCAAATACAAGTTTACTAGGACGTGGTTTCATGCTGGGCCAGATTTTGTCTTGAAAATGTCCAGTGGGCTTCCCAGGCTGGCGTCTGATCCACTGTGTTTTCTAGAAGAAACAACAAGAGGCCGGTGGCACCTTCTACACTGGCGTGATCTTGCACAAAAGCAGATGCTCTTGCGCAAAAACTTGCTGCCTGTCTACACTGGCTGCGTGTTCTTGCGCAAGGAAACTGACGTTCTAATGTGTGAAATCAGGGCTTCTTGCACCAGAACTCGGACGCTCCCGCTCAGGGAAAAGCCCTTTTGCGCAAGAGCTCTTCCGGAAGAGGCCAGTGTAGACAGGAAACATGAATGTCTTGTGCAAGGAGCCCTACGGTTAAAATGGCCATCAGAGCTTTCTTGCGCAAGAGAGCGTCTACACTGGCACGGATGCTCTTGCTCAAAAGCACATGCCAGTGCAGACGCTCTCTTCTGGAAGAGTTTTAGCGTGAGAATGCGCCAGTGTAGACGTAGCCGAAGGGTTTCATTGTGGCATAAGCTTTTGTGAGTGGCAGGTCACTGCGCCAGATGCATGACGTGAAGGAACCGTCAGTGGGTGGGGTACAGAGATGGGAGTGCTACACCTGTCAGGGCGGAGGTGGCCGACGTCCAACAGAGATCCGAAGGTGAGGACACCGAAAGGGGAAAGCAGCCGATGGTGATGAGAGAGCCGGTCCCAGTCTCTGTTCGAGCCTGTTCGGATGGTGACACGTTTGTAGGTGAATCCCAGCTCTGCAGTCTCACCTTGCGCTCAGCTTTGCTTGTGAATGTGTCTCCTCCTTGAGCGTAGCCCAGTCGAGCTCACGGTGCTGGTGCGTGAGATAGCGGAGTCGCCAGGCCAGAAGAAAGGGGTGCAGGTGAGGGGGAAGGACAGACTCTCTCACTGCCCCAGGGCAGGGGGTGCCCAGGATGTGATTGCAGGGTTGCCATTCATCCTTCAGTGCAAGAGCCCTTTGGTTACAGCCCTGCAGCCTGATCCTGCAGCTGCTCCCCGGTGAGGTCAAAGGCTGAACACCCCGGCATTCGGATGTCGGGGTTCGTGCCCCAGGCCTGGAGCCTTTCCCTTGGGGAGTCCTGATCCGGGGGCTTGGAGTGTGTGAGGTGAGAACAGCCGGTGTCAGGTTCTAACAGCAGCGTCCCCCTTAGAGGAAGCGGCTGATGTCGGTGACCCTGGCACCGCAGTGCATCTTTTAACTCCTACCAAAGACGTTTTCACCTGACCTCACCTGTGTTTACTTTGCACGGCGACCTGCCTGCCTGTGCCCCTCAGATGGGCTCCGGGGGCTTCTCTAGTCAGACCAAGCCTGGTCTGGGAGCTGCTCCGTGGAGAGCTGTGCAAATCATCTCTCCCCGCAGGCTGCAAGCTGACCCTGGCACCGCAGTGCATCTTTTAACTCCTACCAAAGACGTTTTCACCTGACCTCACCTGTGTTTACTTTGCACGGCGACCTGCCTGCCTGTGCCCCTCAGATGGGCTCCGGGGGCTTCTCTAGTCAGACCAAGCCTGGTCTGGGAGCTGCTCCGTGGAGAGCTGTGCAAATCATCTCTCCCCGCAGGCTGCAAGCGCCGAATCCAAGCGGAGCGGGGAATGAAGCTGGGAGAAGGGATTGGTGGGGGAGGGGGAGAGCCGATGCCCAGAGGCGAGTCCTGTCGGAGACCAGACTGTGCTACAGTCTAGTCGTTAGTGGGCAGGGTGTGAGAGCAGCTGTCAAAGGGCGCAGAGCAGGCGTCCTACGTGGCCGGACACAGGCTGCGGATGGCGCTGGAGGCGATAAGTGACCATCCGCATGGGGGCCCGGTAGGCGTTCTTGGTGGTAGCATTAAAACCTCCTCGTCTTCCCTCTGCAGACTGGCATGATGACTGACGCCCTGCTGAAGGATCTCACGCCAGCCATGCCCGTCATTTTCCTCAAGGCCGTTCCCGCAGACAGACAGGCCCCTCGCAGCGTGTACCCGTGTCCTGTGTACAAAACGTGCCAGCGGGGGCCCACCTACGTCTGGACCTTTCCCCTGAAAACTAAAGAAACCCCTTCCAAGTGGGTCCTCGCTGGGGTGGCCCTGCTTCTGCAGATCTAGGGCCGGCTGGACTCAGTGTCTCCACCCGAGAGTCTCGAGGACGGCCCAGCCAGTCCTAAACCAACGGGCACGGAGAGAAAACCGACCTGCTCTCTGGACTCAGGCACGTACTGAGCGTGGTGGATGAATTCGTAAGAGGAGGCCGTGGGCAGTAGCAGGCACGTCTCCAGGAGAGTCCGGTACCCGACTGGCTAGGCTATTGGCGCAGGCCTCAGAAGGCCTGGGCTCTTTACCCCACCTAGCCGCTGAATGACAGTAGACAAATCCTTCCCTACCTCAGTTTCCCACTCTGTAAAAGGGGGTGGATGGCAGTAACACCCGCCCCCTTTGTAATGTGCTTTATGTACCGAGAAGAGCAAGGTGTTTCATAGCCGTGAATGGCCATTGGCCAGAGCCCATGTCACTCACGTCAGTGTGGCCACTCGTTCAGTGGCCTGCCGTGGCTTTATGCCAGCTGAGGTAGCGGCCCCGTCTCTGTCACACCCAGGGGGCTAACGGGCCGCTAGGCTCCCCTGTGACCTCGCGTGTTTTTTTCTGTCCTGGTTCAAAGCCAGTTGAGTTTGCACATTGACTTTGATGGGCCTTGGATCCAGCTACATTGAAACGCTTTGTAATTCTTTCTCTTCTGGTGGTTTAAGCCAACCAAATGTTTCAGTGACGCACGAAGAAAAATTCTGAAGCCAGGGAGCCCAGGCCTCGTCAGGGCAACGCGGGATCTTAAATCATTTCGAATTCCTCGCTGACCTCCCTCCAGACCTAGGGCGTCGGAAGGAGAGCGAGTGCGGCCGTGCGGCTCATGAAGCTGAATGGGGAGAGGTGGCTTGCTTACATGAAGCAAAACATTCCAACAGGGTGCACATTGCTAATAAAATCTGTATCCTTGCACCTGCCTCCGGAGCTCCCCGGGCTTGTTTTGGTCTGACCTCCCAGCTTCGTCCCCTGCACGGTGAGCGATCCGGGAAAGCGAGGAGTGGTTGTGCTTTAGAAATAGCTCGTGACCACTACTGCAAGGGCTAGATTTGCAAAGGGACGTAGGCACCTGAGTGCCACGTGAGAGCCTAAATCCCAGAATCAGGCCCCACACCCCAGCCCTGAGCCAGAGTGCTGAGCTTGCTCCAGCACCTTAATTTCCACCCAGGCCCCATCCTTCACCCCAGCTTCCTGCCCTAAGCTCCCTCCTGCTCCCAGCCCCTCATCCCCACTCCTCCCCAGAGCCCACACCCCATTCAGAGCCCTCAGCCCCCACCCCAACTCACCCCTCAATTCACAGCCCTCTCCTGCACCCCTCACTTTGCACCCCACCTTAGAACATAGGGCCCCCCACAAAAGCCCAGAAGTGTTCATCCAGCCCTGGCTGGGACCAGTGTGTGGGATCAGCCTAGGAGTGGGGGGAGCTCCTACTCCATCTGGTGCCCCTGGGCCTCTGTTTGCGATCCAGTGGTCAGAGCAGACCAGCGCCCGCAGCTCTGACCCCTCCCAGCTCACCGTGCGCTTCGGTGTTCGGAGCTGCTTTGGGCTGGAGGGCCAGCTCCTGCCAGCGTTCTGCCGACGCGCTAGATCGGCCACCCTTTGTCAAGGAGCTGCAGGTCTGAAAGGGGGAAGCAAGGCCTGCTGGCCAGCGGGTTTGTTTAGGGACACTTAATGCAGCGCTTAATGAGCACATTAGCAATCCCATCCGTAGCCAGCCCACAGTGATGCTTAAATAAGCGATGTGCACATTAGTGGCTGATTATTTACAGCACAAAACCAGCCATAATTCATCAGCTCCAGAAGCGTTTCCTGGAGCGTCAGAAGGGCAGCATTAGCACATGCCATTAGAACGGGGTTATTAGATTTGTGCGCTTTATTATGAATGGTTTCTTAAATGGCTGTAATTGGTCAAGCATCTCGACAAATGCATTGACTCGGTTAAGGATTCTGCACGTCGTCTGACACGGTTTCTGGCGGAGATCAGCCCTTCACGGAGTCCTGGGCAGCCCTCTCTCCACAAGCAATGTCTGCGCCACGTAGGGAGGGTTGGTTGGGGCTGGAAGGCACATGAAGGGCATTGGTCGGGTTCTCACACTTCCCTGCACCACGACCCCGGCTGACAACAGAAATTACTGTGGGACCCACAGCCTGAACCTACTGCCCTGAGACCCACCAGCCAGGGTGGAAGCCGAGGTCAGGCTGCAGCTTTGGCCCCAGATGGGTTGGCCCCAGGCTCCAGCCAGCCGAACACCAGTCCTGGTCACCCTTTAAAATGGGGCCACAACCAATGTCCCCTCCAATTTTGTCCATCAATGTGCGGAATAAATTGTGCACTGTGCACCAAGGCATGTGGGGATGTGCACCACCAGTAGAAACACCTGCTGTGGGCACTCTGCTAATCAGCGGGGCGGCATTTGAATCTCTCCTGGGTGGCCACCAAGTGCCCAGCGTGCAGGGAACCCTGCCCCCTGCCGTGCGAGGTCAGCGCACCAGCAGCCAGCTTCCCCCTGGGGGGCAGGAGCCTTGCGAGCTCCATCCGGCTTGTGGAGGAAGGACGCGGCTCACAGGCTGCTGCTCTCCCTTCCGCTGGCAGGGGACCAGCAGCCCACGAAACCGGAATCTCTCCTGGGTGGCCACCAAGTGCCCAGCGTGCAGGGAACCCTGCCCCCTGCCGTGCGAGGTCAGCGCACCAGCAGCCAGCTTCCCCCTGGGGGGCAGGAGCCTTGCGAGCTCCATCCGGCTTGTGGAGGAAGGACGCGGCTCACAGGCTGCTGCTCTCCCTTCCGCTGGCAGGGGACCAGCAGCCCACGAAACCGCTCGCCGGGCCGAGAGGCGATCCAAGTGCCCTGACAGCTGGGAAGCCCCCGCTGCAGTGCACCAGGCATTTGTCCTCAGTGCCCCTGGGTTCTCGTCCTGGCCGCAGCCGCAGTCAGCAGGGAGGGCGAGCGCGTCGCACCCACAGCCCTGCTGTAAGACTGGCCTGGCGCTTTCTCGGGACGCCAAAGCCCATGGAAAAGGGAACGCGCCGTGCCTTCCAAGAGAGGGCCTGTCTCCTTGGCAACTGGGCTGCATTTGGAAAGCAAGGATTGAAATAAAGGGGTTTCAGCTGAAAACTCTTTAAAGCGACGCCTGTCGGACATTTGTGCCGACTGTGAAATGTCTGCCGGAGGTGCGTGTCACGCCTGCACCCTCCCCGCGTGGGCCAGGCTCCGGAGCATGCCCGTGTTGGCCACCACCGCCCACCGCTAGCTTTAGCCACGCTCGCAAGGCCAAGCGCGAATGGCCACGTCTGCCCCGGCCACGGTCACGTTGCAGTCTGGGGCTGTCCCTTTCGCCAGCTCCTCCATAGGTTGAGGGTCGCCAGCCAAGAAGCAGTGTTCGAAGGAAGCAATAGTCCAGCGGTTACGAAATCACCATCATTTGAAACTAGACACGGTTCCCTGTCAGAGAAATCAATGGAGGAAAATCGCTCGTCAGGGAATATTTTCTTCCCGGCGCTCTGTCGGGCAAACGCAAACTTTGTGACCTACTTCCCCAGACTCTTTGGATATCATCCCCTCTCTTGCACCCCCAGCAAGATCAGCCGGACCAGGCGAATGGGCGTCAGGCAGTTTTCCAGAAGGACTGACCGGTTGTGATTCACCAAAGGTGATAGCAGAAGATTGTGGACGAGGACCGACCAGAGACTTGGTTTCAGAGGTGCTAGACTATAAACCCAGTGTGTCCTCACCTTCCCCTGTTCCCCACAGCGTGCTGCCGTGGGATGGGATTGGTGCACTGGAGGGACAGGATGCAGGGCAGGGTGCTCACAGACAAACCTACTGAGCGGATGTGGCTAGGAACGGATGTTAAAGGCACAATATGGGGCTCTCTGGACGTCTGCTTAGCTACGTACTGAAGAGGAGGTGGAGCCGCAAGAGTTTGCTGTGTCCTTTTGCTCTTGGCAGATCAAATCATTCATCAGCTCGCGAGTCTGGATACCCGGGGATACGCTGGGTAAGAAGCAGTTTGGGTTCAGAGGGCCGGGAGGCCAGTGTGAGTTTGTGTGATTGCTGAAAGGAATGCCCGGGTTTTCACAAGTCTGGGAAACCTGCACTTGCGCTATTTAAGTAATGCAATTAAAACACTGTGCAATGCAATTAAGTAATGCAATTAAAATGGCTGTGTCTACACTGGGCCACTTATTCCAGAAAAGCAGCCGCTTTTCCGGAATAACTTGAAAGCTGTCTACACTGGCCGCTTGTTTTTCTGGAAAAGCAATGACAATCTACTGTAAAATCATCAGTGCTTTTCTAGAAAAACTATGCTGCTCCCGTTTGGGCAAAAGTCCTTTTCTGGAAAAACTATTCCGGAAAAGGGCCAGTGTAGACAGCACAGTAGTCTTTTCCGCAAAAAAAGCCCCGATTGTGAAAATGACGATCGGGGCTTTTTTCCGGAAAAGCGCGTCTACATTGGCCACGGACGCTTTTACGGAAAAAGTGCTTTTCCGGAAAAGCATCCTGCCAATGTAGACGCGCTTTTTCCGGAAATACTTATAACGGAAAACTGTTCTGTTTTAAGCATTTCCGGAAAAGGATGCCAGTGTAGACGTAGCCTTAGAGACCAGAATCGGATTTACGGGCCCAGTGTCGTTTTCTGAAGCCCTCTCTCGGCTTTCTCCAGCCCCCTTCTCACCCAGTTCCCACAGCATGTGCATGTGCTGGGAGCGTTCCCCCGTTAGCTCTGCGCTAACCCGCTGATCGGTAAGAAGAAGCCGTGGGAGCGGCGGGGGCGGGGGTCACTAGAGAGACACTGCGGTTGTGGAGTCTCACTGAACGCCTTCGGTGGCCTCTCGTTGAGTCACTGATTGATGAGGAGGGAGAACTGGGGGGGGGCGGGGGCCCTGAGCACAACCCCCCTCGCTTGTCTGGAGAATGGTGGGGGTGATGCAGTGGCTGTACCGGATAGCCTGTGTGACTGACCCCAGGGAGATGGACACGCCCGCCTGTCCTATCTGCAAGGGAGGGGTGTTTGAGAGGGCCAGGTCCAGGGAGCAGCGTGGGATGAGGGATGCAGTGGGATGTGGCTGCCTCAACTCTTCTCTGGCCCAGTGGCACTGGGGGGTCATGTAGAGGGCCACAGAGGCTGCTGTCCCCCTGCTGAGCCCTGGGGCTCCGTGGCGGTGGGACGGGAGGGTGTTCCGAGGCGGGTCCCTGGGAACCGCGGCGCGGAGGCTGGGAGCGCGGCCTGGCTACTGGTCGTGCATCGGCTCATGCCCCCAGCCACCCTCAGTCTCTCCACCAGTTTCTTGTCTGCGCTTCCCGCCCTCGTCGTCCCATCAGCTTGTATTGAGCTTTCAGGGATGCTGCCGAGTCTCATGGCCGGTTTAACCCTTTCTGACAAACGCTGCCTAAGCCTGTTGGGCGCCCGTTAAGTTGTAACGGATTTGACTGCGTGTCTAGGTCCTACTTCGATATCTGTCCTAGCGCAAACAACCCATTTACTGCACCTCACCTTGGCCTCGCTCCAGCCTTTCCCTCAGTGGGCACCACCGCCTCTTCCTTCGCCTCTGCTAGAGCCGGCTGAATGTGCACCCCAGCAGGCTCCGGGAGCGGCTCCCCCTCCCACCCTTCTCCTCCTCCTACTTGTCCATTGCTCCCGTGGGTCCATCGCGCTGAACAGCTTGTGCGCCGCCTTCCCGGGTGCCAGGATACCCACCACTGCGCGCTGTGCTCAGCGAGGCTCGCCGCTGGGCTGGCTGTGGCCCGCAGAGAGCTAGCCTGGCCTTGTAAGCAGCACAGCCCTTAGCTTTGCCGATGATAATGGCCAGGCAACGTAACCAGCCTGGCAAGCCGGGGAAGCTGAGCATTTGGGTGGAAGAGAAGACGAGAAGAGGAAAGTGGGGGCAGTTTGACAACGAAAGAGCGGGGCAGAGCGCACT